TTTTTTACCATGAGAGTTGTAGAACACTGGAACAGGTTGCCCAGAGAGGTGGTGGATGCTCCATCCCTGGAGACATTCAAGGCCAGGTTGGACGAGGCCCTGAGCAACCTGATCTAGTTGGAGATATCCCTGTTCCTTGCAGGGGGGTTGGACTAGATGACCTTTGAAGGTCCCTTCCAGCCCTAACCATTCTATGATTCTATGATTAACTGCCTTGTACTCATGCAGAAGCAGACCCTGGTAACTTTAGCACCCAAGTCCCAGCCTGCAGTGGTTTTGGACAGGTGGGTGATGAGATCTACCCACTCCTTGGCCCTCGTCGTCTCCTAGCCCTGTGGCTACAGATCCTTCTGGCTACCCCATCCTCCTTGTTCCACAGGACATGCTGTCTGTGGGTTGGCACAGCTCTTCGCCTTGGTCAGCCAGGCAGTGAGTGGAATGAGCCTATGATGATCTGTGCCCTGAGTCCGCAATACTGTGTTTTGACACCTCTACTTACATCCAGCTGGTAAGAAGAGATGCCTGCCAGCGGGACGAGCAAGTTTTCCCGTGTTTTAGGTGTTCTATGGCCTATTCTGGTTTGGGTTCATGTGGCCTTTGAGCGTTGGGCTCGGTGGCAGTGCACACCATGCTCTTGTTCAGACTCTGGAAAGGGCCATGGGAAGCTTTCCCTGTCCCTTCCCACCTGCTGGCAGTGGCCACTCCCAGAGTGGCCACCTGCAGCCCAGCTGGATTTGCATCCTGGCATTATCGGAACAGGTGAGACCAAAGGGCAGAGGGGAGGGGCACAGCAAGCAGGTAGCGTGAGCTACACGCTCTGTGCTATGGATGCACTTTTGTTATTGGCTTGTTTCTTTTGCGCATGGGAAGGCTGGGGAGGGACGGGGTGAGTTTAAGGGTGAGAGAAATATTGAAGGGGATGGAAAAATGTGGGAGGAAAAGGAGCTCTGAAGCGCAGTGCTGCGGTGGGAGTTGGACCGAAGCACTTGGTGTAGGAGAACACACAACTTAGATACAATTTGTCCATGAGAATGTGACTTTCCTCCCTTTCTAGGAAAGCTTTTTCCCCATCTAAGCTCTAAAACTGACTTTCCTACAGATGATTCTTCATCCCTTGGCCCTCGTGAGCCCTGGGAGAGGTTCCTGTCCTGCAGAAGTTTCTGTCCTCCTTGTGTTGTGTGTACAAATGTAGGGGGAGGAATAGACTTTTGGGGAACCGGAGAGGAGGAACAATCCAGCACAACAGCAGAGAAGTGATGTTTGCAGTCCAAGACACTCAGTTGCTATCTAAAGTCGTTTGCCTTTGCACCGCAAACAAATACTCCACTGCGTTTTGCAGTTATAAACCCATACCTTTGGTCTGAAGCTCTGCTGTGCTTTTCAGGTGTGATACCATAAATCATGTGACTGCCTGGAAATGTGTCTGATTATCAGGATTTGATCACCACAGCAAATAAAGGTGAGACAATAATTACAGGCTCCGCTGCCTGTTGGGCAAAGCTCGCGCACGGTGCCACCGCGCTGGACAGCCGGCGGTGCTGAGCCGCTCACGGCTGGCTCCTAATGAGCCATTAAATTATGAGCAGTGTGCTACGTGGACCGCAGGGGAGGAAATTATCTTCCCCTCTGATTATGGAATGCCATTTTAACAATCCATTAGGACAAAGATCAGGGGAAAAGCAACGACTCTTTATTTGTAAGTTGAGGGTTTTCACTAGGAAAAACATCTGCAGTTAATAGATGAGTGATGCCCTTGCCTCTGCACCACAGAAAATCCCTATTGGCATGAACCTAGGTCTTCTGCTGCCTTGGTGCAAGATGCTGCAGCAGCAAAAGCTGTGCCTGAGTCACTGAGGGCTTCCCCAGGTTCAGGTTGGGGGACTCTTATTTTCAGGAGGTTTTGTCCTGTTGACATCCTACTGCTCTAAAGCTAAATAGGGAGAGGTTTGGATTTCTTTTTTAATGGTTTCAAGGTTTGCGAGTAAGCTGCAGCCGGTGATGGTGTAAGTGATGGAGAGCTCTACTCAAGCAGCCTGCCCAGCCTGCAGCAGTAGCTCCAGTCACTTCCCAAACGACACTGATTATACAACAGTTCCTTTTTGTTTTCCACCATGGAGACGTGATCTGTCTTTATTTTTACAACAGTTGCGTTACCTGTAGGTCTTTCTCACCGTGATGCAAGGTCCATAGCACAAGAGACACTTTCCCTTCGAGCCAAAAAAAACTTTCCTTCTATT